AGTACAACAACTCTCGGTCAAGAATATTAAGGAATTTCCCTTGTAAATTGTGACAAAATAACTCTGTGTATCAACAACATGTCAGCAATTTTTCGAAATATCTTCAAAATTGTCAGGATCTTTTACAAAATTATTGCAAATCGCGTTCACAATTATTTCAGAACATGTCCATGACATTACAAAAATATTCTCATGCGCTTCCCGACGAAAATTTTGAGAAAAAAAAAATTAATGCGAATATTTGAAGGAATCCTGAAACCATTTGAAAATTGAATTATTTTTCAGAACATTTTAAAAAATTTCTCACGATTTTTAAAAAAATAATGTAAAAATACTGTCAGATGTAGCACTACCTAACAGCCCAACATTTGAAGGGTATTTTTTAAATAAATTGATTTGAAACAATTTTCAATTTCCTCGATTACTGCATTATTCTTAGCCTGACTTGCTCAAATGACACGACAGCCAATTTTACGGCATATGTTTCTTCGTGTTAGCTTAATTTTTCTGCGTTTGAAGAGCCACGGGAACAATTGGACATGTTTCTACCAAACAGACCTATGTGGAGGTGAGAAATATGGGGTGTGCTCTAGAAATCTGCATAAGAAACAATGTAAAAGTGGGCGTGGTTCCTTTTGAAGAATTGGAAAAGCGGGATATTGCATTCTATCAAACAGACCTATGTGTCAACTGGATGCGGAACTCATGAGCCGCGGGCATGGCAAGAATGGCTGGCCCTGTCGTGGACAGGGCTCATGAGTTACAGCGCCCCGACGATGATCCCCGGCTCGTGCGTGGTCTCCTTCATTGCCGCTGACGTCACTGGCGCTTTATTATTCTCATTCACTCGCCACGCAAGAGAACTAACGAGCACACCCCATATTTCTCACTTCCACATAGGTCTCTTTGGTAGAAATACGTCCAATTGGTCTGGAGACGCCACGCCACGCCGACGACCGCGCCACAACTTTTCAATAGATCCACCTGATCGGCAGATTGGCACTATGGAGCACAATCAAAACTTGAATGTTGTCTGCAGCCATTGTGACCGACACTTGATAAGGAAAAACGGATGCGTCGTCGTCAAAGCGCCGCCGTGCCGGACACGATAGCGCCATAGTTAGAGCCGGAGCAGGTTACAAAGTAAACCGCTGCATGCTCTCTGATGTCATTTTAATTGACTCCCACCATCTCAATTCCACCGTTAATATTATTGCCAGATGCTGCCATGAGAGGCTCAAGAGTTTCATTTCAATCACAGCTGACCTGTCTCCACGTACATTGAGAAAAATATTCAACCGGAATAATGGATATCCCAGGACGTTAAAAAAAATCGAGTTTTAGCAATACTTAAACGCTTAGTCTTCAGGAAGACGATTTTCGATTCTCAGGGCTGGAGACTTCAGCTCCGTGACTGACAACTGTACTGCCGCGCTAAGGAAAAACGATGTATGAACCTTCAGGCGTTGCCAAATTTCCTTTGGTAAATTTAAAGAAAGACTTCTGAATATTGTTTGGTCAATTTCTCAGATAATTTTGTTTGAAATTTGATCTGAATTTTCTGAAAATGTCCTTGTGGCCGAAGTTTTTTTTCTATTACACTTCAGGTGTGGTATCTTCTACCTTTTTGCAGCCGATCAAAGTGTGGAATTTTGTAAGCGTACTTCAGCTCTAAAATTTGTCCATGCTTCAAAGTAACGTCGTAGTAGGAGTAAGAAATGAAGTAGGATAATCGAGGGTAATAAATGGTAGGCACACGTCACCAAAAACTTTATTTTGATGCAATTTTGATCAGATATGTCAACATGCGAGTGCTGGACACTAGCGCAGAGGAGGAAACTGTGTGTAGTCTAAAGTACGAGTGTTTTCGTCACGAATGAACGATTGTCTGATGAAGGAAAAAGGCTGGACGCTGGACCTCTTCAGTCGGTCAAATCTCAGGACACTCATCCAGCGCTCATGGAATTTTAGGTTATTATAGTTTAGTTTTTGCTGCGATATGACAACTCTGCAGTCTGATCTTGAACTGGAGTAATCGAATAATAATTAACCGTTCATAGGATAGGGGAAAACGGTTTAAGTTTCACACTGTATGATGGTGGAGCAAAACTTCCTCAAGACTTAAAAAGATATTTCCCACTCTTTAACTGATGGAATATTCTCTATGAAGGCATGGCCACTACATGAGAACAAGACTCTGTCACCCGCGTCCTTTATCCATTTTTCAAGAATGGAATATTTTCATGGGCTGCATGGAGGAACATTATTCGCCAATCATTGCCCTATCGGGAAAATGTAAAAGCTGTGTCGGTATAGTGATTCGAATTTGAAAAGGCAGTGCGCGTGTGCTTGCGCTCATACTTCCGATCTATCGGACATCCGTCTATGCTGCCGTCCTACAGAAGAGAGCAGTGTGTAAATCGACTCTAAATAGAGCTTCGGAGCGCTTAAAAGCAGCTGCCAATCGTGGTTCGCGTCTGGATGGAGTTGAGCCCATGTTTCGTAACACGGCAGTGTATGCAAATTTGAGAGAGCAAAAACAGAAGCGGCGCTACACCGGACTCGTGGGCGGCAAATTCAAAGCCTCTTCAAAAACAACATAGTTGTCACATGGATTTATTGGGTATTTATCGTTGATGCTCACCTTAAGCAGCTAAATGATGAAAATACTCCTTTAGTAGAAGACTAAAAATATCAAAAAAATATGTGATAAGAAAACCACGAAATCCATAAATATAATAATGTAATCCATCTTCCGGATTTTTTTACGTACCTCTGCATTCCCGAATTCATGTGTGAAATTCTGGAATTATGATTACTCTCTCAGACTCTTTCATGAGTTCTTTTCCCGTGCAACCCTCTAACCCGTAAAAAATGGGGTGATCTGAAGTAGTGTACATTTCCCAATAGTGTAATAGTCCACGAGCTCGTGATTTTCAGAACTTACATTCCATGCGCCAATGAGCCGATTTCGCCAGACACAGAATCGTGTTTGGATACGGATGAAACTTATGAATCGGCAAAAAGGAGTTATGATTTTAATCTATTGTATTTTTTTCTTTTTTTAAGAATAGCTTTTTGCTCAAAATAATTTCTCATTCAAATCAAAATACATCAGTCGGAGAGATATCCCTCGATAGGGATGATTCCGGTGTCATCCGGGCAGATATGCAGCCGTGAGTTTGGTTTAGTTGGTCGGCTCGACTTCGGTCCCCGATCGCCCTAGCCAGCTTCTGATCAAAGCTTTTTTCAAAATCAGAGCCCAAACCAACATATGATAGTTTAACCGCCTAGATGACCATCTGGCCGAAACCCACCCCATGTTTGGGGTGGTAGCGAGAAACGAATGGAAATCGAAACCCCCGACTTTGGTTTACCACAGCCGGTGGAACAAGACGCTTAAATTGTCATATCTTCGATAAGATTCGCCACTTTTTCTCCCGGAAGAACTACAAAAAAAAATCAATATACATTTTATCCCCGATTGTAAAACGATTTTTGTCTGGATGAACAAAGAAGAAAACATCTCACTTGAGAAAGAAAAATATGTAGAAAAAAATCACTTTCTATTTAGTCAAAAAAGCAAATTCTTGATATCCTAACCAAGGAAAATATTTGTTGTAAAATTTAAAAAAAAAATGTTGACCGTTTTTTTTCCCCAGAGCACATCTGAGTGTCATCGCCAAGGTTCGGGAGGTGGGCCAGATAATCGAAAATATTACGTAGCCCACATGACACGTTCTCATGAATGGGACAAGCACACCGGACAACTTTCACTTTCATAGCTCATTACGGACGAGACCTAGAGACGACACTCCTAGTATGTGCCTGTGTCATGTGCGGTGTCCTCCTCATAATTGGTCAAAGACCGTACCGAGTGTATTTGAAACGGGCCATGTCCAACCCAAACATGCCTATCGTCTGCGAACCCGAAAATATGAGCATTATTGTGGAGCCCAGGGTTCATGAGAAAACAGGCTTGCTAGGTCTCTGCATTTATCGCTTCATTTGGAGTCACCCATCTGTCATGAGTCATTAGCCCTCCGCGATGACGCGCAGCCGAGTGGCAGTGGCCATTGACGCGCTTCAGGTGAATCTTGCGCACACATCCATCGTTGCCAAAACACTGGCGGATCCAGAAAGAGCTTGCGAGGAGAGCGTTTGGCGATGTCGAGTGAAAAGTTTATGGGGAGGGGGGGGGCCCTCTTGTCGAAACTTGTTACTAACTATTTAATTTCAAAACGCTCTTTCAGCAGTTTTGGTCCAAGATTTTTGGAGGGTTTGAGTGCTAAAAATTGGCAGATTTTACCCCTCTTATTGTTGTGCGGCGGTCCAGAGAGAGCTTGAAGGGACCATTTGGAGATGATATGCGCGGGGTTTGGGGGGCCCCATGACCCATTATTTCAGAACCGAAAGGAGTCCATTACAGACAGGGGACGCTCGGTGAAACAGCACCGACAGGGGGTTTTAGAGGAAATGAGGGAGTGCCTACTCGCTGAAGAGCTTTGGGAGGATATGGAACTTAGGCGGCTAGGTGTCGTAGAGCGCCAAAGAGCGCTGTGAAAGCGGTTCTTATATAGGTACATTTTATTACTTATAATTTTTGTTCTCAGAGAGACGATGGTTTGCCCCGCAGCCAAGCTGTGCGCCGTCAATTTTTCTGGACCGGCGAGGAAAGCATTCGATCCTGATATCGACACTGCACTTGAATGCGATATTTTTCCCCTGTAAAAACCCTGCCTTTATTAGGTTAAATTTCCTCGTCAAATTTGGCACATGAATACTTTTAGTCTCATGATGACAACAGAAATGCGATCTCAAAATTCGAAAAAAATGACAAGTAGCTGGAATTATGGGACGAATTGATGCGATATATCTTACGTCGCTCTGACACAAAAAATGGCAACTGTCGAATCGTCTTAATGTTCACATAGTTCCTTTTAGCATGGATACGAGCAAATAAAAATTTGAAAGGTGGTGAATAAGGATGGATTACTGACCATTGCGAGGAAGGAGGCGACGGCGAAACGATTGGCGAGAGTTCTCAGCGTTGGGTCACTCATAGTTAGACTCAGGATGAGGAGGACGACACTTGAATCATAATTCCTCTGTTAAAAAATAAATGTGGGAAGGATTCGCGGTGCGAATTGGGAGGCGCGCACTCGGCTCCAGGACTTGCCAGGACTCGCCGTGACGGACGACCTTCGAAGACTGACCAAGACTCGCCGCCGCCGCCGCCGCTCATTTGCGTTCGCCGTTCGCGGTCTTGGTCGCGAGCTTCCAGCTTGCGCGCCGCTGCCAAGTCCACACCCAAAAATTACATTCCTCATTTAACGATTCAAATGCTCAAAAAAGTGACTCCAATGTTTCAATGTAGATTTTACAACAAAAAAATGCTACTTTAACCAACCCCGTGGTTAGTGGTTAGAGAAGCATTTTTTTTGTAGTAAAATCCACGTTGACACGTTGCAGTCACTTTTTTTTTAGCAATTGAATTGTTTAATAAGAAATTTACTTGTTTCCGTGCAACCGAAAAGCAATCGTGGAAGGGCCTGCTTTCCTGCGGTAAAGGCCAAGACAGAAACGGCCAACCTAAAATTCAAAATGTAGAAAGTTGATAGGGGTAAATAATTGTTCGCAATCTCAGCTTCAAGATGTCCTCACTTCGCAAAAAAGTCTCAAGTCCGCGGTGAGCGAATAAGTTTAGAAAATCAGTGCGCCTCTCTGTTTTTAAATCATTTTCCGCCAGAAAAAATAAATAAAATAGAAAAACCCCTCCAATTAAAACATCTCTTCGCGAGCTGGCAGATTTCCGTGCGCCACACGCAAAGCGTGCTTCCTCGCTCAACGTTTTCTTTATCCTTGCTAAAAATTCCACAAATCTAATTTAAGGGAACCGCGCGATCCCGGTAAAGCCGCAAAAGTTGCCCTACTTGAAACAGACGAGAGGAGTAAGTGCGCAGACGTTGGACTATATTTTGCCACTAGGAACTATGATATCTGGCTCATTCGTGGAAACACTTATGTGCGCAGGGAAACTAATGGTGCATACGTTGTTACTAAAGTGATCACAGGTTGTAGTTCCTAGTCGCAAAATATAGGCAAATTAAGGTTATTTCCGACAAAACAGGCAGTGCGAGCCCAAAGTATCCCGCGATTGAGCTGTACGTACTGCTGTCATGTGCAGGATGGTATATCCTTTTCCGTTCACGCGACCAAACCCTACATTTTGCTCATCACTTGTTGAGAACCTAATCAAGCAAGCGCGTAGAAGATTGAACTTACGGCTGCCTTGCCTAACATGAGATGAATAGAATTCTCTTCTTAAAGTCAAAGGTAAATTTTTTGATTATTCATCACCCAGACGATCAATAAAGCTCTTTTGGATGATTGTAGACATTATAACGGAAAATTGAGGACTCATTCTATGAGACTTTTCGGACGCAAAATACCAGGTCCATTTCCAAAAACGTCGGTTTACGACTCACTCCTGTCCTTGGTAAGGCGGCAGAAACACTGCCAGCAGCGGTGGGAACAGAGATGGCGCAAAGAAAGTATGGAGGCCAGGAAATTGTTGATTCGCCTTTAATTTCCAGGGTAGGCCAGCGAGTATACTCCGTGCAGTGATATAGTCCTATTCAAGGATTTGGATTGAATGTATAGTACTATTCCGAAAAGTTCAATATTGAACCATTGATTCTGGAGCATATAGTAGTGTTCTACAAACAATTTGGATCAAATCATTTTGGACGATGAACAAATCGAGGAAAAAGTTTGCTCAATTTTCTTTTAAAAAAATAAAATACAAGAGGACTTTAGTAATGTCGCAGTAGGAGATATGCAGTTTTTGAAATCAACTGTCGATATACCTTGAATAGAGGAAAACAGAACGAGAATAAAAATCGTTGAGTTGGAGTTTATAAATGTGAATTCAGAGGGAGGATTCGATGACAAAGCAAAACACAAGTCTTCTGTTAGACTTAGAAGACGTTTGTCGCATGGCGAATGTTATCTGGCCTACCTCAAAATTGAAGGCGAAATAGCAATGCGCGCGATCTTTAAATCTACGTCGTATCAACTCTGCCTCCTCTGAATTTTTAGTCAGAATGTGCAGCTGAATGGACGAAGTATAGCTCAAGAAAGAGAGAGGAAGTCTACCTCTCTTGATTGTAAACGAAAAACAACCAGTTTTCCGGGGTACACACGCCCAGAAATGCATCAACCTTACTAAACCTGATTTATTTATATATTATTTTCCCGCAGATGTATTAATTTCTGCAACGAAAATTCCAACGGTGAAAATTGACTGATTGAACACGTACTTCGATATGTGACGTTGTGGATTTCGTATCAAATTTTATTTTTTCCATCGAAAAATCAACAGAAATGATTTCTCGGAGTTATTGTCTATTTTTCTTTGTTCTGCACAGAATATTTTGAATATTCAAAATTTTAGCAAATGATATTTAAAATATTTTCCTCAAGAGAATGAAACTACAACGGAAAATTTGAAATATTTTAATCAAAATCCGTATTATGCAACTTTAAACATCTGTAGACCCCCCAATTCTTGTGTATAACGCTATCCACAAGATTTTTATGTTCATTGTAACACCGAACTCACAAAAAAGAGATAGTTCTTTTAACTTACAGTCAGCAGTTCAAGCTTTTTTGTGTTATGTAAGGTTTTCAATCCTTTGAGTATTCAACCGCAATCTTGAAAGAGCATCGGGTTAGGGGGCTAGCAGGCATTCATGCTCCAGGCTCTCAAATTTTCGAGGATTGAGGCAGAAAGACATCTTTTTCTGCAGATTCTGTTTACCCTTTGTTTGTAAAGAAATTACGTATAAAAGTTCAAAGTCTGCCAACAGTGCGGGTGAATAATTCGAGCGGGATCGCCCTCCTGCGCCGCACTGTGGACAGGAGGGGGAACGGTGGGGGCAGGAATATTCCCAACACCCACTCTTGACAAAATTTAATCCGGTGCCCCCACCATTTTCCTCGCTCGGCCGGAAAAATTGACGGCGCTTAGCGTGGCTCCGGATTAGAACGCCGATGGATGGATGGATGCAGAGCTGCGCCAACCGCAAAACCGGTTCTTTGCCCGATGCGTGTGCGTTGAATGTTCTGTTTGTTTGCGCGCGGGCCAGACGGTGCATGTTCGTGAGAGCGACGAACTATACTGCCGTGCTAAGGAGAAACGCCGTATGAATATTCGAGAGTTGCCAAATTTCCTTCAATAAAATGTTTATTCTTGAGGAAAGATAGGAATATTTTTCCTTGAAATTTTCAGGAGCTGCAGGTGAAATTACGAAAAAATTTTGAAAAATTGGAAGAAAAATATTCATAAGTTTACCAGGGGATTACCTATTGTTTTATAAAAGGAAATTTGGCAACGCCTAAAGGTTCATACGGCGTTCCTCCTTAGCACGGCAGTGGGCAGTGTATATGTGCTACCACTAATAGGAGCTAATAAGAGAGAACAGTTTATTCCTAAGACATTGAAAGAATAAATAGATGAAGAGCAAAACTCCTTTGATCATAAGAAGGAAGCAGACTGTTTCTGTGAGAGTGTATACATGGAGTGATAGTCAATGGGGCTTAATTCCATTTCAACGTTGCAAAATTTAATCCTAAAATTTAGTAATTTACTTGCGAGCTATTGTGAATTTTACGAAATTTACTAGGAATTTTTTTGCGACGGTACAAAGCCCGATTTACCTGCCCTGATTACTTTTTGGCAAACCTGGATTTTAAAGTAAAATTCAAAGTTCATTGGTAAATTTTAGATTGTAAAAGTTAGATACCATTCTCCACCCTCCCCCCTCAACTCCTCTCCGTTCCCCTTACTACAAATTGGCCGAGATATACTTGGATGTTTTCCTCCTTTTTGATGGTTACCTACAAAATTCTATGAAAATTAGGACATAATTATATATTTCGGTGAGAGTAAGCAGGAAGTATAGGTATTCAAAAATTGAACTAAGACGTGGTCACCGGTCAGGTAACTTTTAAATAAACTGGATTGAGTTTAATATAGACCTAAAATGAATAACTAAAAGCACTATCTCTTAGATTGATCAAAATTCATTATATATGAATGCTGTAACCTTTTGCCATAGGTGTTGCCATTTCTTAGGCATCGTTCACCTCATATTGGTACAATTCTGCCCTTGGGACTCAAAATGTTACCCAAAGTGTGAAATAAGAGTGATATGAAAGGATAAAATAGGAACACCAGTCGAGAAAATTTTTTTAACTCATCACGGTGTCCTTCAAGTTCTATTGTCTTCAGAGTGTCAAAAGACGGACCCGCGGAAGAAGCCCGCAAATTCAAATGACGCGCCACACAATTTGAAAAAGAGCGCGAAATATTTTCCCGCCAGCGGAAACTTCTCAAACCGGAACGGGAAATGGCCAAATGTAAACACTACCGAGAAGTATATTCGATTCCTTCGTGTGTTCATTTCATTTTTGTGCGATGTGCCTGAGATTTTTGCCCTTCGAGTTTAATTTGTATCTTATTTTTCAAGTATGAACGAAGAAAGACGTGTCAATGACATTGAATACTCCGCGGACAGTAAATTTAGAAATTATAACTTCTGCTTAGACAAAGTTCCTAAGGTACCTTTCGATGATCCTAACCTTGATGCAACAATACTTCAAAATGTAAGTTAGAATGTGTTTTTCCGTTCATTTTTCCTCTCAAAATTCTTCTTTGGGCCATCAATGACCCCTCTCTGTGCTGTCATATCTTTGCCGGTGTCTCTACACCATCCTAAGTGTCAAGCTTTTGACGGACGGTTCCTCTAATCGGTTCACCTGTCAAACGTCAAGAGATTACCGCATCATTTGTACTCTGTAATGTGGTTAGACAAAAGGTGGTGGCAAAGTGGTCAAAACTGAAGGCAAATACTCGAGAGCTTAACATCCCTATTAGAGAATACAAGATGTATCGCATGACTTTCTGCTGGCTCTTCCTTGTGAAAGAGAATATCTTGCTGTGTAGGATTGTTCCCTAGGTATCATTCCATCGAAAGTTCAAAAGTGGAATATTAATTCTACATCAGAAGAGTTTTACAGCAATAGACTTAAGTGCTTAAGTTACATGGACATCAAAGAAAATTGGCCGGAAGGCCATCAATTATCCAAGTGGACTTTCACTGCTTCTAACCTGCTTTACCTTCTGATACTGAATCGTCAAAGAATTTTTCAAGTTGTTCTCCTTTAAAAAATAAAATGGGAGAGGAAATTTTGAAAAATCGCGAACAAGATACATAGTTTGGGAGTTTTATCATTGATTCGCTGCTGGACAGCTGCAAATAGTTTAAGTGAAGGGGGAGAAAAGTAGTGATCTCCACCTGTCGCCAGAAGGGCAAACGCGCATCTTTTTTGTCAATTTGATCAACTGTCACCTCATCGTATACCTGTCACGAAATTTTGAATCTCATGCCTAATAGAACACTCCCAGCAAAGAAATTTGCTCTTGTAATCATCTACAAAAGACTGTTTTTGCTTGATTCCAGCGCCCTGTCATAATCACTGGTTCCAAAATGGCTGCTCCTGCCTCGAAATGGACGCCTGATTATCTACAGTCAGTGATTGGTAATCGCAGGGTCAGTGTTTTAGCTTCCAGAGACCATAACTTTCTTTTCCATAATGCAAAAATGGTAAACAAAGACAGCGGAGATGCTCCCTTAACCAAAAGAACTGTTATGAAATTTTCTGATTTTTTAAAAAGACTAAGAGAATGGAAGCCTGGAGATGACAGGTAAATTTTTCTTCTTAAACAAGAATTTTCAGTAATTTTATTAATGCTATTTTTAGTCACTAAGCACTTAACATAAAGATAATTTATCTGTTTGACCTAGAGCATAGTTTCACATCAAACTACAACTTAATCTGGAGAAATGTCAGGAAAAAGGAAAATTTCAACACTGATACATTTTAAAGTGTTACACCCCCACATTCAAGAGGAAAAAAAGAAAAAGAAACATGAAAACAAGGAAAAAATGAGCTGTCAATCGCTGTTGCTGCCTGACCATTAAAGCAGCGGTTTTGCAATAACAGAGAACAACAGCTCATTTTTCCTTTGTTTTTCATTTCATTTTTTTTTGCCACTGGAATATGAAGGTGTATTTAGGTAAAGTGTCATGCGCTTTGATTTTTTGTTTTTTTAAAGCCTCTCTGTCTTTGAGTCATCATTTATCGTTTCTCTTGGGCTGAGTCTGTCATCCTTTGTTGCACCATATAAAATTAAAGACCCACGCTATTACTTGTGCAAAGGATCACTCCACCAACGTAATGTAAGGGGTAAAGTATTTATATTTATATGCAAATCAAACTTATCCGAAAAATCCATTATTATACCTCCAGATCATGGAATACTTGGTCTTCTCCAAGTTCCCTTCAAGATCAGCAAGATTAGCAGTTTCATCAAACTAGAAAAATAGTTCTGTTAATACATATTGTACTTTTCCATTAGGAATTTAAATGAAATTATGAATACTTTAAACACAGTTCAAATTTAGACACAGGATAAGCAGGCACAAAGGTGTCCACCTTATAATTATCACAAAGCTATATTCATTCATCAAATTTCTACTTTGTTCAATTATCTTACTTTGCAGGCTCTACCTGCAGGAAAAATTCTCATCTTGCCTTGAGGCAAGTCTAGTCAAAGACTATGATGAATTCAAGTGGAATTGGATTAATCACAAACGGAAAGTCTATTCGTGGGGACCTCTAACGTCAAATCTTATTCTACTTGCTATGGATGGTAAGTTTTCAGCTTTTTTTTATCACCTCAATTTAAAGGGAATGGTTTCATAACTTCATCAGTTTCAGTGGTATTCACAGTAAAGACATAATTTTCTGGCTGGTCCTGATTATTGTTGCAACAAAAATCTAAGAAAGTAATCAGGACCAGCCAAAAAAAGAACAAGTCCTCCCTGCCTTACCTTTAAACCTCAGTGGATCAGAACTTTTTGATTGAATGCATCTCAGTATCTGCTTCCGTACTTATGATTATTTTTACAAACGAAACTGAAAAACGCATTTTTACATTAATGTTTCAGTTTTTTGCCAGCTGCTAGAGCTGAAGGAAAATTTAAGTGAGTGTATTCCTCTACCTCTTGTAAAAATATTTTTTTTTTATTGAAGTGGGAGGAAAAACTGAATATTTTTCAAGTATGCAATGTAAGCACAAAATGGCACACCTAGAAGTTTTACTTGCATAGATTTTTTTCTTCACACATTCTAACTAGTTTCTTTATTACCAGGCAATGTCACATCGTGTCACTTTGATGAACAGCACAATCTCTTTGCCCAAATCCATGGGTACAAAAGGTTTATTCTGTTTCCGCCCAGTCAGTACGAGTGTTTGTATCCATATCCCCTGTATCATCCATGCGACCGTCAAAGCCAGGTGATTTCAATTTTAAACCTTATCATCTAACAATAAGGTATAAAAATAGGAATTTTATTAGCTATCATTTCAAATTTGTACTTGCTCTGTCAAGAGGTTTTAAAGCTTCAATGAATCATTCAAAGTTCTTCAATAACAACAACATGGGAAATTTCTGCTGATTCGACATGTTCTGTTTTGCCTCTTGCAAACTTGCTACCTACTTTAAGTTTAGAAAACAGGAATTAAAGATTTATAATGGATTCATCTTCTCTTGAATGCTGTCAAGATTGAGTAACTTTTCAGTGACTTACTTGTTACTTGTAGCAAGTTTCTTTTGTGAATTTTATCATCAGAAGCCAAAGCAAATTCAATGAATATTTCCTCCCCAAAACACAGACTTTCTTTAGACTCGCGTTGTATGTAAAAAATTCTGCAAAATCTTTAGAGTTTTGCGAAGTATATGATTAGTTCTTCATGTTAATTTGATTTAATTTTTGGGTATTAATTTCAATTAGCAAGTTCTTTCGAGCGTAAGAATCAGTGAAAATTTTTTTTCATCGCTTTGGACTCCACTCTTTACTTAGTCTAGTTTTTGTTTTTTGCAGGTGAATTTTGAAAATCCTGACCTCGAAAAATTTCCTAAATTTCGGGAAATTGAAGGAGGAATGGAAGCAATACTTGGACCTGGGGACGTCCTGTATGTTCCCAATTATTGGTTTCATCATGTCGAATCAATGATGAATGGAGGCCCCACCTTGTCAATCAGCTTCTGGTTTAAAGTGAGTATTTTTCTGACGCATTAAACAAATTGAATTGTGTTAAGCAAACTAGTCATAGCTACATTGAGAGTTTTGGAAGAAGATCTATGTCCTATAGTGTAGGACCGTTATCATATGTTAAACAGGGAAGCATATGGAAGTAGAAGGCAAAAATAAAAGGCAAACAGAGACAATTTGTAAAAATTACTCAAGGTTCCATTTCAGCTCAAAGCCTCCTATGTGTTTTTAAGTAAAACTAATCAACCAAAGAAGACTAATCTGTTTAATACCAACAGTGAGCAACATAATGTTAAATGCAAAATAGTGCTGAGTAGCACTGCTTCGTAGAGAATCAAAGCCGCCAGAATAATTAAAAATAAGAATTTTAAGAACCCATCCCATCTGGAATCAATTGGGCTATCTGTAATGGGAGAAAGTAAATGTTCCTGGTAGTGCATACCCAGAAAAAAACACTAAAAAGTAAAACTTTTCCCATGCAGCTGCCCAGGCTAAACAATCTCCATCAGTTTTGCATAGATACTCATCAAAGTAATTTTAATTTTTAAAGCTTCTGGCTTTGATCCCCTCCCAGAACAGTGTGGATCCTGCTTTAGTCTATGCATTTTTCAGTTACTATTTCACTAGGAATTTTAAAGTATTGTTAATTCAATAATGTTGAAGTGCAAGTGCAGTCAAAAGAAATTTTTGTAATTTTGGTTATCAAGAAAATCTTTTAAAAGCCAAAAAAAAAAAAATAAATAAAAAAAAAATAAATAAAAAGAATTATTGATATTTAGAGACGAGCTAAATTCTCTGAAACTGGTTGCCAGAAAAATAAGTGATGTTTTCCTTCAAAAATGGACAAATCCAAGATCAATTCATTATTATCATTAAGAGTTGTCCAAAACTTTGAATACCATCTAAAGTAATTTTTTAAGGAATTCTTCCATTTCAAGAGGGGCTTGGTTTCATGGCTTTAATGGATCAAATTTAATCATTCTGCTTTTGTTCTGTTGCAGGACAATCTACGTAAAGAAACTGTCTACCCACTCAAGGACTTTCAAAAGGTCATAATTTCTCGCAACGTAGAGAGAATGTTGTTAGAATTACTGCGCGATCCGAAAGAAGTTAGCTCCGTTCTTAAAGCAATGACTTTGGGAAGGTACTCTTGAAGTATTAAACAAGCCCCTGTTTTGTCAAGGTATCAATCATTTCAATACCTAATTTTTCTAAAAGTCCTCTTTTTTTTTCCTCAAGTTTTTCCCGTATCTGCAGAATCAGTTGATTTAAGTTAGTACTAAACTAACAATCGGAGGTCCTTTATTTCTAGGACATGAAAATCAGATCAAATGAATGAGCTAAGAAACAGAATTGAACATGCTTATGTTAAAAAGAACTATATTGCATGAAAATTCTATTTAGTTTCTTTTAGCACAAATACGTCCAATTACTCAGTGACTCCTCCAAAGAGGGAATCTTATTTTCGTAAACTACGGCAAGTTCTTTTATGGAGGGCTGTTTTTATTTGTGGTGAGCTATCTACCATTCGAAGGTTTAACCCTAGGCTATGAAAAGCCTAACTGCATGGAATCATTGTGAAATCAATTTTAGACAAATCAAACAACTGGATCTCTTTTGATCACTCTTGTATGCCTCCTCTTTTAAAAAATCTATTTTTTATCTCAATCATTGCAATCATGTCCTTGGATGACTGTATCTAATACCGAGAAGATCCTTAGGCACTCTGAGTCCTAATGGCTACTGTTGAAAATTAATGATAAAGCGGTAAATGAAGAAATCGATGTTTTCCCAAAAATCGACTATATGCCTTGTAATTATTCCTAGTGTTACACATAACCAAAGTTCCTTGGCATGATACTATCAAAGAATGACCTTCAATCGTCTTGATAGGTTCAAGGTAGCTTTCTGGCTCTTGGTTTTTTTCCGGAACAATAAGATTGTAGCTAAGAATGGAAATTCGGTCAATGTAAATTTTTCGAGCATCTGTATTTCCTGGAAAAGCTCTTGAAGCTAGGAAAACCTAATCACTATACGTCGTAAAAGGCAATATTTTAAGGTGATTTTTATGTGACACTCAAGAAAAATACTGAATTATCGTACAACGCAAAAAGTAGTACTGGAATGTATTTATTACTTTCGTTGCTGTCGAAGTGAAAGCCACTGTTTACCAGCGAGTAAAATTTCACTTCGTTTGGGTCAAAAAATTTCGTGTCATTATGTGTCTGAAATCGTTATTTTGTTTGGAAAAGGACCTGTCTTAATTTTTTTTCCCCGAGAAAAGTTTGAACTCGTTCAGTAATTTTTAATTATTATATTTTTGAAAAGAAGAGAGGGCATATGGTCTCAGGAATTTTCCCTGATCCTTGGAATTATGTCAAATCATGCTAAGTGAGTTCAAAGTTGCGAATTTTGAGCTTCCATTTAAGCATATATTGTTAAGAAAGCTCCTGAAAATATCCTTGCCACCGTGATCTCTTTTCTAACAGCACAAGTTCTCTGCTGTGATTTATGGCTTGTGCAGTTCTTTTCATTACATGGACCATGGATTATGGCGGCATCACCTGGGCAAATGAGAAATTGCAGTGGGAGGGATGCTTCAAACATCATCTTGGTTGTCTCTGCCATTGCCCATTGAAACAGGAGCTCAAAATACGCAACTTTAAACTCGTTTTTTTGCAGGGTAACATTGTCAAAAAAAACTGGGAAAATTCTTGTTAACTCAAGCCATCTCCTTATTTAAAAAATGTGAGCATTAAAAATTACTAAATAAGCTCATTATGTACACAAGTGTTCATCTCAAAATTAAAAAAGGTCTTTTGTCCACAAACCAATGGATCATTTCCAGGTGCTCAGAAAATATGCCTCTATTTATTCAAATATTGGGTTGGCTTTTATGATGGTACTTGTTATCATATTCGCACTTATACAATCTCTAATCTTATATATTGAGTCTATCACCCATTCATCATCACTACTCAAATGTTTACCTCTTAAAGCGTTAAAGTCTAAAGAGTTGTTAAATATTACACCTGCACGGTAAGAAGAAGGTTGTTAAATTAGGAATTAGAATTACTTGCTCTTACAGCACCTAACTCCTATCTTTGAAAATGTTGACTGCCCCTTCCAAGACTTTAATTGGGTAAATGATTTTATCTGTACCTGACCTCTCCCTGAAAATTCATGACTATTATAATATGGTGATTTTAATAAACTTTTGCATAATCACAATTATTTGTAATGGAGATGTTGCATGTTTGAGGAATTTGCGATTTGACTGTTGATTCTCATGTAAAAGTTCGCGAGAAACACAATGGTCCCACTGGTTTTCTCTGAAATCAACTCCCAAGCTCCCAAAAAGCTCTCAAGTTGAGTCAAAAATGGAGGGGATATCCCATGCTATCCTGAGAGTCCACCTCTATATCGAGACAAACTCTCCATGCTAAGATAGGGAGCAAATACATTAGCAGTGATGCCGTGTTTTCAGTTTTAGAGTCCCCAAATAAAGTGGCAGCCCTGTCAATGTATTTGCTCCCTATCTTTGCATGGAGAGTTTGTCTTGATGTAAAGGTGGACTCCCAAGATAGCGTGGGATATCCTCTCCATTTTGGCCTCAACTTGAGAGCTTTTTTTGAGCTTGGGAGTTGATTTCAGAGAAAATCAGCGGCACCATCGTGTTTCTTGCGAACTTTTACATAAGAATCAACAGTCAAATCGCAAATTCCTCACACATGCAACATCTCCATTACACTCCTCGTGCTTCAAAGGGACTTTCATCCCAAATCGCATGAAAGAATCAAGGGATGAAGCATAATTTTTCTTCCTACTCATCAAATGGTCGTTGTTTTTATTACCATGAATACAGTATTTTTTGCTGTATTGTAGGTGTGCCATGGCAAATGAGTAAATCTATCGCTGTTTTTTTCTTTTTCTGGTAATTTTGGAAATTTTATTGTCAGTCTTCAGTATATTTTTAATAACACGAATCATTTATCAACAATTTTTTACGAATAAAATTTATTTTGTCAACTACTTACTGTGTTTTCATTTCATAATTTTTAGAAAAAGAGAAAACCAGGTTGATCTAGGGGCACACAAATCCAAAAGCAAATATTATTAATTGATGTTTACTTCTAATAATGTGATTTATATCGCCAACAATGGTTAATAACAGCTGATGGGCTGCACTTTACCTGATCAATTCAGTTCTCCTAGTTGAAAAATTGGATCACAATATCTAAAAAAAACTTTGTTAATATTCCTAACTGTGTACTTGATTTGACAAGAAAAGTTCCAATTTTTAAGAAATTGTCAAGTTTTTCCCAAGAATGAGGCTAATGATGCAAAGTAAGTAATTAAATTGTTAATAGCAATGATCCACCTTCCCCTAAAAATCTTTTACTTCGGTGAAACAGCTTAGGAAAAGTGAAAAGTAGAATCAGTATAATAAAAAGTCAAAAATATTCTTAAAATTAATCCATAGGTTAGAACTTGAAGCAATTAGCGTTTTCATAAAATCATTTTTGGTAATTTGGTAATCGGTATTTTGTTTTTCAAGATCTATTCATTTATAATATACAGAGATAAATTTCTAGAAGTGTCTCGAGAAAAAAGACTAAAATTCCATATTTAAATATTACTAAATGAGCTTGCAAATATTGTTTGATAATCTGAGGCTATGATGTGTAAGTATTCAAACATTTCCCATGATGTACTTAACTAGAATGCACCAGAAAGTACGGCAAGACATATGGTAGTGGATCCTAACTGTTTGCTTTTTACGGCACTATCACAAATAACGTTACAAACGAAAATAATCAGAAATTTCCTTTATTTCCTGTTAATGTATTTGCACAGAGCTGCTTAACAGAAATGCTTTAAGTTACATTTCTGCTAAAAATAAGTTAGGAGTAGTTTTGAAATCAAATAGTCATAAATTTTCTCCTGTCAAAAACTTCAATTCGAGTAAAAATATTTTCATCGTGAAAATAGTAGTTGAACTTTGTCCCCAACACTGAGTCTCATAAAGGAATAAAACTTCAAAACGTTCTTTTCTCAGTTCAAACTTGATGCAACTTGACGTGTTTCTGTTAATAATTCCTGTCCTTTTTTTATCTCTCTACACCAATATGTAACCTAGAATAACTGTGTAAATTAATTTTTTATTTACACTATAATAATAATAAAAACTTAAATTCGCATCGCCACAAATTGCCTTCACTATTGCCTGCACAAGTGCACAATTGCACAACCGCAATAAAAGGTGTTCGAAGGCAGCCGTAGTTGCATAAAACGCCTTCAAAGTGGAGCATAGGCAAACCAAATTACAGCTGTAATGCCACAAACTCATTTTGGGAGGTATCAATAGAAGTTTTTGAGGATTGTGTTGGTTTGCATAACTGTACCCGCATTTAACCAAGATAATCGAAAAATGTTCGATTAAAATTGAATTTTAAAATGTTTTTACCCTTAATTTTTTGTTTATTACTGTATATTTCAGCATTTCCTGAAGTTGAAGCATCTCTGAAGCTACAGAGCTGACTTCACACATTTGCATCCAATTATATTTTTCACATTTTTTTCTATTTCTATTTCTAGATTTTCCTGGAAGCACTGAAACCCATTGTATGTGATGAGTAATTTTAAAATGTCCTCTATAACTCATTCAATGCCTAATGAGAATCTGATGAAGAACTTTACCTCCTCATTTCGAGTGAACTGATGTTTGCTGTCATGTAGCGGGTATCGTTTGATTCTATCTGAAATCATAGGTCTTGTCTTGGAACAACTTACACACTTCAATCTCATATTATTTTTTATTTCTTTTTTGTTTCCTTTTTCAGATGGACCAAAATAGGTTAAGGAGGTTTGAGAGACTTTCACAACTGTCTACATAACAGCACAATTCGTGGTAAGATCCCTTTGTATCAAACATAATTTTAGTAGTATGACAGCAGTATAGAAGACACAATCAACTAAGAGCGAACAAACTTATAACAATCTGGCAGTAGAAATCAGGAAAGGTGCTTAAATCATTCCATAGCATTAAGTGCAATATCTTTATTTTGCAAAAAATATGAGATATTCAACAATCATGCCTCAATTTTTGCATGTATTTTAGTGGAAATCATGAAGACGCACTGTTGTCATGTAAAGAAATTATGGCAAGTTTTTGTTTTCATCTTTGAGTAAATCACCTTTCCTGATACATATTCTTACGCTTTATTCCACTGAAGATATCTTGTGCAAGAAAAAGTGAAAGGTCTATCTTCTTCAGGTTGTATGGCAGGTTTCAGGGCTCTTTTTGGTGTCACATTGCTATGATCGGGTCAGATTATACCTTTAAAAAAAAGTGCATTTATCTAAATTGAGGGAAAACTCCATGGCAGAACAATCAACTCTAAGATCCCAATTCAAATCGTTTTGGGAAATAACGATCTTCTTCTTATGGGCTTATAGATTTCGACATAAGGACATCGGTACTTGAAATTTTTTTCTATGTTTTCAAAATCAAACCTTTCCTCTACTCTTCGAGAAAACATCTATTTCTTAAGACAAGAATTAGGGGCCGTCCATAAGTTACGCAAGGCTTTTTGGGGGGAGGGGGTCTATAAAAGCCTTACAGCGCCTTATGAGGGGAAGGGGGGGATAGGGCTAAGCCTTACAAAAGCTTTCCAGTCTTTATTTAAAGAAAATGCAAAAATCCATTTGTCAGGTTGATAATAAAATTCAATATGAAATAAAGGAAATCAGCTTATCACAAATTGCTGACCGATTGGACCATTTTCCTGTCATTTCTTTTGATTCCCACTTCTCCACTCCGTGGGATGATGAGGAGTGACTTCATTCTTATGTCAAATTTATTCTTTAAACTATTCCAAAGAGAAAAAAAATCCTCAATTTTGCTCCACGTATTTTTGTTTATTAAACTAATTGTATCATTAATATTTCCCATGAACTTAGTACAAAAACTTAGTTTCACTCCAAAAAATTTCATTGTTTTTCTAGAAGAAAATTCAATGCTTAGATCTGTGATAATTGGAAAGGGGGGGAGGGGATCAGTCTAGCCTTACGTAATTTTTGGAGGGGGTGTAAGGGATGCCTTACGGTGCCCTACGGGAGGGGGGGGGGCTAAAAATGGGGAAAAGTGCCTCACCTAATTTATGGATGGCCCCCTATTAGTTTTTTTCCCATTTTTTAATTTTTTTTTAAAAATTTTTTAATTCAAAGTGCTCAGAAGGTTTCGACATAATTGGCGAGCTGGCCGAAGCTGGTAAAGCTTCTTTGGCTCTTTAAGTGTGATATATGTTGATTCTCTAAGGATATCAAACCTTTCTCTTTAAAAAAAGTAGTTACCTGAAATGGTTTTTTTCCTTGGAAAGAAATGACTGTAATGCATAATCGCTTCACAGCCCCAGGTCAGGATTTAGCAGCAAGAACACGTAAAGGAATAATTCTGCGTATTCTGTAAAAGTCCAATCTCCTGGTCCAATCAAAAAGGAAAATGGTAGGCCAAAAGGTGTGAGGAAGAACCTGATCATTTCTCAAATATCCTATGAATTGGGTTGGTTTAATAGCTGGTGAATGGCGAGAATCTGTTGAAAGAAGTTGCCATTTTAAGTAAAAAAATATTAAAAAGTGGTTCTCCCATTGCTGTAATCACCCTTTATCATAACTTTTTCTAAGAATTTATCTCTGAATTTCTTATGAAAATTCTGAAAGGTCTGAGGGTCTTCAAAAGCTTTTAAAGGTCTCTCCGCGTCGTATCAGTGGCTTATATTTTGAATTCTGTAACTGACAATGTAAAGAAGTGAGGAGAAACAATTCTCTCTTTTCATTTAAGGAGCATATTGATAGCTCAGTAAAAAGAACATTCATCAACTTTGCAAAGAAAGTTTCCTACATCAGCCTTTGGGTCTGGGTTCAGCAAGAAAAAAAGGTGAAAAAAAAAAAAAAAATTCAACTCCCCAAGTGTTTGGCACCCAATGAAACCCTACGCATTAAAGAACTCGGAGATAATATAGACCGAGTTGCACTAGCCGTATATTTTCTCCTGCCAAAAACTGAAAATCTAAAAAATAAAAAAAAAATTTGAAAAGAGGTGTTAAAGTTTACTTTTTACATTGAGCCTTATGCAGGAATAAAACTTCAAACCTCTTTTTCTCAATTTCAACTCAATGTGGGTTGTTTCCTTTCTGATGAAATCGGTCCATATTACCTCCTGATTCTTGCCTCAGCAGAAATGATTGATAGCGCCCGCGTCCAACACTGGAGCCACAGTCATTTTTGACCTCGAGCCACTATTTTAACGCCTCGGAGATGAAATTGCATACTCCAAAAAATGAAGGCTTTTTCATTACACCCGCTGCCTCGTGCTCCAACAAACTAATAATGACAGAGAGCGCTGCTACGCGCCGATTCCGCAGTTAGCTTCCACCTCGAGCAACTCTTTTAACTTTCCAGAGATCAAATTGCATGCACGGAAAAATGAAGGCTTTTTTTGTGCACCCGCCGACTCATGCCTCAACAGACTGTACTTATAATTATTGCGCCGCCGTTCGCCAATGCGACAGTTAGCTGTAACCTCTGGCAACTATTTTGACTTAGGAGAAATCAAATTTTTTACAAAAAGAACTGAAGAGGCATAGGTAACAGCGTGCATGAGTAGATTAATAATCGAGAGCGCTCCCGCGCGCCGATACTGCATTACGCTTCGACTTGGAGCAATTATTTAAACATCAAATTGCATACCCAAAAAAATGAAGGAATTTTTAAAGGATCAGTAGTTTGTCCAAGACCCAGCAAGCGACTTAAAACTGCCTCGCCGAAGGAAGCCCAGCTCACTCCGACCTCGTGCAACTACATATTTCAATTCTGCTGGAATAAAATGTTATACTCAATGAAGTAACAAGACTGGAGTATTTATCGTTAGATACAGGTTTAAACTTTCTTAGAAACAGATAGCACGTAGTAGCTCTTCCACAAGTGGGGAAAAGTATGGAAATGTGTCACTAACTTGAAAAGTCTGGCTTCGCTCCTTTTTCCCGTAGTTTACTTTTGTCATCACTGCAGATCAGCGTCCTTGTCAAGATACAGTCTCATTCTCTGAACAGTACGTAGAGGAATAAGACAAATTGACTAATGAAGTCAAAATCGACAATCCACACCATCGATTGGACCATTCCACCGGAGTTGAATTCAAAGAGACACGGGTATTAATTTTCTTAGAGATGAATGCTCGTGAATTGCTCACTCACCGAATTTCCCTCTCGGATAATCGGTCGATTTATTGATCAACTGATCAAACTGTTCAGGGTCTACTAATATGGAGTGCCGAAAAGTAGGTACAAGAATAAGCCGAATTGAATAAGCTCATCAAAAGAAATACCGTTAAAGTGAATGGGTAGCAAAACGGGGACGAAAGATAATCGTCCGAGTCGCCCGAAAAATTTCCTCATTCTGCTGAAGGAAGTATTTTTTTTTTTTTTTAAAAGTTTGTAGTCTCTGGTTTGAGTTGGAGATAAACACAATGCACAAATTGTCTGAAATTAAAGTGAAATCCGGCCACAACTGTAACTCACGCGATGAAATTAACGCTGCGTTTGGTGTTGACATCAAGCGAATAAAAGGTAGAGAAATAAGACTATTTCGCACATTTCGGTGAAGCTGAACCTTTTGTAGGGAATCGGAATCGGTATGGGGATCAGTGTCGGTGGCTCCAAGTCTATCACTGCCATCGTCGTCGCCGAGAGATATCTGAGTACGATTGGAAAAACAAAAATTGAGTAGATTAATATGTTAATTTTTATTTTATGTAAGAATCAATTTCTTAAACTCGGGAAATGCTAGGAGAAGTTCTCATTAACTAAAGGGTGCCTGACCGCTCCGCGCTCCAACTCCCCGAAGCGCTTCGCGGCTCAAGCGTTATGCGCTGCCGTGCTAAGGAAAAACGCCGAATGAACATTCGGGAGTGGCCAAGTTTCCCTTGATAAAACCAGTATTTTTGAGAAAATTCATGCATATTTTTCCTTGAAATTTTCAGATATTTTAGATCAAACTGTGTACATAAATCTCTGAAAATTGGAGAAAATGATATTCACAATTACCTCAATAATTTCGGTCTTTATCGGAGGAAACTTGGCAACGCCTGAAGGCTCATACGCCGTTCTTTCTTGGCATGGCAATGCGTCACGCGTAACTCTTATGATTTTATATTGTTATGATTTGTATCGGTGACATCCATCTCATTGTGATTGTCTCACTCATGCTCTCGCCGAGAAAAAGCGCATTTTACACGACACAGAGGGATATGAAAAATCTGTCTCGGATACTTACATGAATCCCTCGTATGATTCAGGAGTTGCTCTCGTAAACCTCTTTGTTGATCAAAGCAAAAACACGGTAATACTTCGACCGGTCGAAGTTATAGATCAGAGTTGGCGTAATTATAAGGAAAATATTGTGATTGTATTATCAGATTTAATCTGATGTCGTTAAGACTCACGTAATGCCTATTTCATGATCACCACATTGAGGCGGAACTAAACGAAATCTCTTATTTTACAGAACAGCTTAATTTGGTCACATAATTTGACTTGACGCATCCCTAGAAGACCGTCGCCGTCGGGTGAAATATTTATAGGAATTGTGAGAACATGTGTCTGATGAGGTTGAAAGCATCTCTTTAAGGTTTTCATTGTGCAAGGATGCGTCCTGTATGAATTGAACTTAATTCAAATGATGACGTCAGAATAACTCGCAATGAGACACAACCGTGGAAAATGAATTTAAAAATTAACCAGCTTCAGCGGTAGAGTTAGAGAGTGAAAAATAAGTCGAAATTACGGAGAAATGTTTTCTACGCGTCGCGTAGCCGAAAAATCGCCGCAGATATGCGAATTTTCCACCAAATTAGCTCAACGAGGGCTCGCTAGAAAACTGATAACACTAACTACAAGTTCTTGCAAACCGTATTCCGATATCTGTAATGGTTTGCTCAGGATAAACCACCTCCTAGTTTTTTTGCGACTAGCCCTTGTGAAGTATAGACTTCCCATGTATTTGAAATAAATCGCTATGATCGTGATCGCCAACGGAAAAATCGAGATATATTGCAATTTTATCGGTGATAAAATCGCTAGGATCGTCAACATCTCAGCGACTATCCTCGATCTTATCGGGATAAAATCGCGATTTTATCGCCCGGCAATTTATCGCGATATTTTCGAAGTAAAAATCGCGATAAATGGCGATATAATGTCGATTTTATCGACAAAAATTCATCCAAAAATTGCGATGTGTTGCGATTTAATCGTCAAATATTGCAATTTTTAATGCGATAATATCTCGATTTATAGCCACCAATATTATCGCGATGACCAATCGATAAAATCGCTTTTCATTACGATCTCCGCTGCTAAGGGGGTTTGAAACTCTCAAGATTAACAATTCGATAGTTTGTCAAAAGCTATTAGGGGCCGTCCATAAATTACGTAAGGCTCTTAGGGGGAGGGAGGGGGGTCTGTTTATGTATGATGCTTTGGACTATTAGTCCAGAATTCCTTGATTTTAGCACATAAAAATGAAAAATTGGCAACGCTGTACAGCCTCAACGAAGTGTCACTTCAAGTTGAAACTTTGCCTGGAAGTTTGCCCCACCATAAGCATTCATTTGAGCCTTGTCCCGTTGACCAACTCGGGTATCCAAAAAAAAGGGGCTAAACTTGGCGAGGCTCTTTCAAGATGAAATAGAGGAATTTAGTACATCACCGATTGCTGACCGATCAAACCATGATCCTGTCATTTCTCTTGATTCCCACTTCTCCATTCCGCGGGATGATGAGGAGTGACCTCATCCTAACGTCAACTTTATACTTGTAATTATTGCAAAGACAAAAAAAAATCTTCAATTTTGCTCCACGTATTTTTGTTTCTATCTGTATCATTAATATTTCTTTTAAACTTACTTCAAAAATTTAGTTTCACGAATAAAAATGTTGGCCTAAAATTTCATGGTTTTTCAAAAAGATAACGTAACGCTTGGATTTGCGATTCTTGAAAAAAAAGAGAAGGTTCAGTCGAGCCTTACAATTTATAGAGGAAGGGGGGGGGGGAAGGGATGCCTT